GGGGGGGGCGCTTGCTGAATAATTTGGAATTCTCTTTCCCGCCCCCAGGGCTGTGAATGCTCCATCATTGGACACACTTAAGACAAGTGGGGGGCGGTGGTGGTGGTGGTGGAGGAGAGACACAGATAGATTTCTGATGTCTCTCTTCCCACTGCACAACACCTTTACTTCAGTGGTGGGGGGCGCAGAGTGTTGTTGGTGGGGGTGTGTGTGCAGAGTGGTGTGGGGGGGGGGGGGTGTGCAGAGTGTCGCGGGGGGGGGTGGGGCGGTGGGAGAAAAGGGGGAGGGGGTGGGGGGAGGAGAGAAAAGATCACCCCACGTGCTACAGCTTTAACAGGAACAGGCCAGAAAGAAAGAGCTGGGAAAGTTCTGGCCCTCCCCTCCGGATCTCAAAGTGTTGGAGTTTCCGGGACTTGGGAACGGGAGAGGGGAATGACCCAACAACAGGCGGATGTCGGGGAGGGACTAAATTATTTACCCCACATTAGCCGCGATCGAACAGATCAATCCCAGCCTTTGCAAGGACCACTTCCAGCCCCCCGCCGAGTGTGAGCGAGGTTTATGAAACTATGAGGAACGTCCATAGGGAATGCATTTCTTCTCACTTCTTCTCACAGTTTTAAGGTACGGGACATTGGTTCAAGAGGGAACATGAGGATTTTTTATTTCAACCAGAGGGTGGTGGGAATCTGGAACTCACTGTCCTGATGGGTGTTAGAGGCAGAAACCCTCGTGGCATTGGAATAATATTTAGATGTGCACTTGTGATCCCAAGGCATACAGAGCCATGGGCTGGAAAATGGCATTAGAACAGCGAGGCGGGTGGCACAGTCCCAATGGGCCGAAGGGCCTTTTACTGAGCTGTCGATCTCTATGGCCCCAGTCTCCGTGCGCTGTGCTAAGTCAGTAAATAAACAGCACACCCTACCTCCAGAATCTGGTTGAACTGGGCTTTCAGCTCAAAGTAGGGCTTGGATTTGATGATCATCCTTTTGAGGGATTTCTGCAGCTCCTGGACACGGTCCTCAGCTTCCTGGCACATCTGGGTGACCCGCTGGTGCTCCCGCTCGCTCCTCAACCTCTCCTCCTCCGCCTCATTCACCTGGGGGTCACAAGGGCAAGGGGACACAGTGATCGGCAAATGCCAGGGCAGAGGAGATCGCCCACTTGTTTCACTTACACACACACACACACACACACACACACACACACACACACACACACAAAAGCGCGCGCGCGCACGCCTCCCCACCCAACGCCCAACCACGACCAGGGCACCCGCCCACTTCGACTCTCCTACCTCCCCAAAGTGATCAAGGTGGTTTCGTGCACTGGGACAGCACAGTGGATAAAGGATACCCAATAGACACGCCCTGTCGTGGGGCCAGTGCACTCCCCGCCCTGTCCCAGTGCGAGGGGTCACCGGTGCACTCCCCACCCTGTCCCAGTGCGAGGGGTCACCAGTGCACTCCCCCTGTCCCAGTGCGAGGGGTC